CACTAATTATAGCGAACTACTAATAGACACTCTTTTTGGTGCATCACATTGGTTGTATTTATAGCCGTGGGAAGGTTTTCTAGAAAATTCAGATTACGTAACAATACAATTTAAGTGTTTACATACACACATATTGTTGATTATTACTCTCAAGAATCTTCTACAACTTTGGAGAATAGGCGGGAGTTTTGCAATACATATTTAACACTATAAGTTATGCATGTTTTAAAATATAAACTTAATCTAAACAAATGTTGACATTAAAATAAATATATAATAACAAATTCGTTACATCACGTAAAGAAGACTGATATTCCTGACTAGAAGTGACAACTTTCTTTAACAAATACCTTTTTACCATCCTTTCATTCCCATTTTTGTGGATGGCTCAAAATTAAGTGATTCTGTGAGCTCTGCCAGGGCTTGTTGCAGTTTTGCTCTATAGTTGTTTAGAGGATTCCATCTACAGATTTGGTTTTTACTTTGAGTTGTATACAATCTCACTTGCTCGGATTACAAAGTAGCTAAGCATTACACTAATTTTACTATCTATGCCAATGTGCTTAGCTCTTTGAAGGCCTTACAGTAACTTTTAATGTCAGTTCTAACCCTAATTGTATTGAATATTTAGAAAAGACTGAACCATTCCTCACTGTCATCTATGTCTATCCAGTTTTTTCTGGATTCCTGGCCATATTAGGATACAAGAAAATGAACCTACTGACATTACAGCTGTTCATCAAAGCAAGGTTTGGGCTGGTTGGCAGGTGATTTGGGGTGAGCAAAACGTTTGAATAAGCCTTTCCAGATAAAACTTACTATCAGTGATTGGCCCCCTAGTTTATGCAGGGATCAGAGGGAGGAAGGCGTCTTCACAAGGCTCCATATTAAACATAGTTTTATTATTTATAATTTTCCCTTATAAATGAGTGGTCTGATAATTGCCTCAAAGGTTATTAGTGTAAACATTGAACTTTTTGATAAGCTGGCTGTTCTGTCAATAGTTCAGTTGAAGTTATTGATCCACAGTTGCTTTTGGCAGACCCCATAAGGTGAGAAATTTGATCAGTTTTGATTTCAGATAATTCAGTTATTGATTGATCTGTTTACTGTGGTAGATTGAAAACTACTTGTTTTTTTTGAAAAACTTTATTTAATTTCCTATAAAATAATTAAATTTGGCAGAAACCAGAAATCGAAAACTTGAGTACTTACACTGCAAAATATAGCAATTCTGGCCTTTGAGTAGCCGTACACTTCATTGATAGTGAGATTGATACTCTGAAAGCTCTGATACAGCTCAGACAATACCCCCAAAATGTCTCCTAACACAGTCAAGGCAGTAGGATACTGTTGATCTATAAGCTTTTTGAAATAATACTTTCCTACAGGATCATTATTTTTATTCACTTCCACAGTGAAATAGTCCACTTGTATAACATAATTTCTACAAAGAGTGTTTACAGCAATATGGCATAATAACCAGTACATTTCATTCAGTGCTCTGAATGATAATGCACCAACTTCTGATTCATTTGCCATTCTTCAAACTTAGATTTCTTAACTCTTTCAGCATGGGTTCAGTCCCTGGGACTGACCTCTTAACCATTTTGTTCTTGTAATAGTTTCATGCTATAACTTTTAAATTAGTAAGCGAATTAGTTAACGAAATTTGGCAGATTATCAGTAAACATTACAATACTTTCATATGCATAATATCAATTTTTATTATTAAGTCTTAAGGTTTGTAAAACAGTGTTTTTTTTTCTTTTCACATATTGCCTATCCAACATGCAAAGTAATTTTCATTTTAAGATTAAAATACTTTTATGTATCAGAAAATTTTCTAATTTCACATGAAAAATCTTTATAATGTCCAGATAGTTATCAAACGTTTCTTAAGAAAAAAACTTTATATTTTATGTTATTTTCAGTAACGAATTTCTGTGCAGGTTTGGTCGATTTGACCAGTCTTATAACCACATTAAATAAATTAGGAAATAAATATAAATTATGCCTTTTTGTTCTCGAATGACTACAAATTATAACACGAAAATATAAATGTTTAGATTAAATAGCTTAAATCTCATACCATTATATATTTATAAATATTTATTATTTTTATTATATTGATCTTTTGAGCCATGCCTGGCTAACAGTACAATACAATAACACGGTGCACATGCACTCATGTTACCATATCCAATAATATATAACTGACCTTTAGTATTTACCTTTCTTCTGATTTCAAAACTTAATGTGGAAGATTAATATTTTATTTAGTGCAATGTCAGTGCTCTAGTCAACTATCAGCTTATAAAATCAGTAATCATGTACCACTGCTACTGTTTTGCTTTGGATTACAGCATTGATGTACTGTATAAACTCATATGCATAGTTCTTGCTTCTTCAGCTGGTAGGAAGATTAACATATGTCACTAGGTGGTCACAAATGCATTGCTCAGACCACATGAATAAAGCTATTTTTATAGCAAGGAGCATATTGTCTATGAGAATTTTTATTTCATCTGTATTTTCTCTTTGATGCCCCCCCCCTCATTTCAATATGCTTTTGTTGGCTTTTAGTAGACTCGGTTAGTAAATGCTGAATTCCAAGAATAGTTTTAACTACATCTACGTGAACTTTCTGAAATAAGTGATGTTTTAAATAGTCCAGTTTTCATTCAGTACATTTTTTACTAGTTTTAAATTTCCCCTTAGCTATTACAGAATTTATACATGACTCCAATGCTGACTGAATATAAAAAAATATCTCCCAGTCTCAAGAGCTCCTTTCATGAAACTTCAGTTGTTTTGGTTTCCACAATTTGCAAAAGCGACTCATCTTTAAATACTGAACTGCAATTTTTTTCAGCCACTGTTGGTGCTTGTATCTCATCCTTATAATTAGACAATGTATTGTTTGAATAAAGTATTTTTTCATACTCAAACCTGAAATGTTAGCAACTGACACAACTATGTGTGTGGTACAAACTGAGAGGAATTTGTGCACTTTAAAGGGAATGTTTGTTTGGAGCTGTGGTGACAATGATCCTTAAAAAAATTACAGCTCCCTGACTGCTGACAAGTGCAGGCAGATTTTGATACATTATGCCATCAACATGACTCATTTGTTGAGGATTCATTTTCCAACAAGACAGTGACCTCAAGCATACAGCAAATGTGGTAAATGATATCTTGAAAGCAAAGAGGCCAGTGGAATGCTCACAACAATGGCTTGAACTAAACAGAGTTCTTATATGAAGTTTCTTGAGGCTCTTTAACTGTATGAAAACTGATAAGGTCAAAAAGGCAACCATATGACTTGGCTGGATTCTGGGAAGTAATATGGGACACTTGGAACTGTATTTTACTTTTACAATTGTTCTTTGATAAACTATGTGGCAGTATTAAAACATGATGTAACGTTGTGTGTAAAGCAAAGAGTGCATAAACAAAATGGTACTGTGTGTCTTGCTCACTCTTCTTTTGTATTTTCTTTGATAATGTTTTATACCATTAATACATTCAAATCTAGTTGTCATTACTTGTTTTTGTGATTCCTGTATATGTATTGCTTGTGTGTTTCCATAATTATTTCCATTACTGTAACATATGGCATTGTTTTAGTCGAATGTATCATCTATATTTAGATTATCTTTAAAAACAAAAAAATTTGGAATGACATTTAGGTTTGACTGAATAAAACTAATCTAAATTTTTAATACAACAAAGTTTGGTGGTAGCTTCACAGGTGTACCCATGTTCTAAGGGTAGTTTTGTTTTTCGTTTTTTCAGTTTGTGATTGGCTAAATTGATTTAAATATTACTGTCATTATTATTAAAAATAAATGAGCTGCAGCAGTTTATCATTAACAAACAACCACTGTCATTTATTAATTAAAATAAAACCTTTGTACTACAAGTGAATAAATAACAAATAAACTACACAGTAACACAAAATAGCATTTTTATGAAATTTTTGGTTCTTAATATATAAAATAACACCCTTAAAAAAAAGACATGGCATACTCTTTTAAGGTTTAGGCTATTGGGAATTACATCCTGGTAAATTGTGTTGAGTGTCTGTTCTTGACAGTGGAATATGTAAAGAACCCCACTCACATACTCATTACTAAGCACAAAATGGCTAATAAACGACTGGTACAAAAACAACTGAAGTAACAGTGGTATTTTGAGATTTCTTATGTTTATTCAATATTCAGGATTAATAATACAAAATTATACTTAATATATTAATATGGACAAATTAGTGACAAATAAAACTGTACAAAACCAGTTAATTCTGTTAGCTTTTATAAGGTAATAGAATATTACAAGAAGGTTCAGAGAACTAAGAATCTCCATCATATTTTACCAAGCACTGAATATCATTTTAAGGACAAATTTAAAAAAAAATGAAAAGAAATGATAATAAGGGTAATTAAACATAGTTTTAAGTGCTTTGTATTAAAATGATTTTGAATATGCAATTTAGTAAGTCACATAACAACCACAGCTGATATAGTCTTAGTGAAAAGGAATGTATCAGAACTACATTTTAACATTGTTTGACATTATATATGCAATGTTATGCTACCAAAAATTGATTTCTTTTGGAAAGGATACATAACATTTTTCTGGCTTAAAATATTAATATATTCAGATTATAAAGGTGTGTTTAGGTCAGTAGTTTAGAATTTCAAAAACATGGATACCACTCATACTTTATGGCATTGTAAAACAAAGGAATATGGATCAACTTGGGGAACTGGGACCATCCAGAAAGAGACCTTCAAGAATTTGTATGCTAGTTGTGATAAGCAAGTGTGGCTTCTTATAACAGGTAAGAATCCATGAACACGAAGGTCAGTGACAAAAAACACCCACAGTTCCCAGGCAACAATATGCAACATAGTGAAGAAGGATCTCTGTCTAGAAAAGCAACATAAGTCACATGTACATAAGTTGCTTCTACTACATATTAGTTCATTATCACATACTTCAAGCAGCTGCTTGAGAGTGAAATGGGTATTCATACTATTCCATATGAAGACATACATACCTGTCGAGTAACTTGCTGCAGTCAGACTGTTGAAGTAAGAGCTGAGATACAATTGCCCTTGTACACTTGAAAGATTATGGAAAGACTGCAAGGAGGAGGGATGTGCTTTGAGCATAATAGTCAGGCTTTGAACTTGTCGTTAAATCATGTGTACCCATCTACATGTTATCTCATCAGTAGTGATCAATCTCTTTCTGTAATTGAGTATAATAGTCATACGACCCTACAGGGCTATTGCGAATATACATGGTCGTCAGATAGAGCATAACTGGACAAAACGACATGGACTGTGAGATTGTGATGAAGCTCCAAAATCATTGTAGTATAATGTACTCAACCTCTGTATTTGTTTTTCAGATAAATATACAGTGAAATCCTGTTTACAGTATCCTTTATCATTAAAAATCAATGAAAGTGTATTCATGATGCTCCTTCCTTAAAAATTAATTGGCTGAAACCTGTTCTGTGTAGTAGGGCATGTTATTTTCAAGGCTTTATACTCATAATACATAGAAGAGCTTGGGAACACTTAGCAATGAGTCAGTTGTCAGGTCCAATGCAATAATCTAAGCCAGTGAATTATGAGTTTTTGAATATGTATACAAGTCAATTTTTATGGTATTGGAAATTTTGTACACAGATTTAGAAATAATAAGCTACACAAAAGTTTAGTGGTTGAAATTTGATTTGATTTTAGTTACATAAATGTTATCTCTTCATCATAAAACATGAGTTGTTATATACTGTTTGTGAAGCAGACATATTTACTTTGAAATTTTTAAGGTAATATGCTGGATTAACCCTCCATATTAACAAATGATATATTTGCAGTTGGCTGCCAGGCTTGGAACTTGTCATTAAACTGATGTCATGTGTACCTGTCTGCATGTTATTTAATCAGTGCTGATCAATCTCTTTCTGTAATTTATCTTTCTCATTGAATAGCAGTGTCATTTTGTTTATCAGGTATTGTTCAAGTCACCTGTTGTCTTGAACTTTACTAAAAAAATATGCCCTTACCCTTGTAGGAAGTTTTCTTAAAATTTAATTTTCTTTAGGGTTGAAGAAATTTCTTCAGCCTTACATATAATTGTATACAATGTAAATCAATTTTCAACTTAGCATTGTTTTTGAGGATTTATTAGTCTAGATTTAAAACTTATAATGCTTCTTTTACCAATTTCTTTACTCAAACTATAAGAAACAGCCATCCAAGAATTCCCTTTTTTCAGTAACAAAGCTGACACACATAAAAGAATTGAAAAACCACTGCATTTACTTAGAGATATATTTCTTGGATTCGTTTTGAATTAAACCTTTGACAGTTTTAAACTCTCACTTCTCTATTTTTTAGACTGTTTTGGGGTTCTGTGATTTTCTTTAATTTTTGTATTTACTATTGCAGCTTCTATTTCCAAGGACTTACTGTAAATTAGAGCTTGGAAATAGTTTTATCATCAAAGTATTCCAAAATTCTTACAGTCCGCAGGGCTGGATTCAGGTTTAGTGGGGCTCTAGGCCCAGGTAATATTTGGGAATAAAAATAATAATAATGATGATGATAATAATTACTCACTCTTGCCTCTATTCTGCTAGTTTTACAAATCATATTATTTTTACTTGGGTGGCTGGCAGGGCCCTAGGTGACGTATGCTTTAATCCAGTACTGACAGTCAGATTGCAAGCTATTGATAATTTCCACTGTACTTCTTATATCTATATGTAAAATGATTTTTATATGTATGTAAAACAATATCTCTTGTTAATATCAGAGTTTCATTATTTTAACAATTTTTCACTCAAGAGATAATTTTAAGTGTTTTTTGAACTCAGTTATATTTAATTTTTTAAGTATGGGATACAGATCTGTAAAATGACAAAACTACACCTGAAATACCTGTAAAGCTAGTGTTTATTTGTAAGATATATTTTTTTAAATTTTCATTTAAAAAAAATCTTAGTTAGAGTTTGTATTACATATATTCCTCTTATGCAATATTGACATAAGTTATTTCTTTTCACCCACGTTAACATGCCTTCAGGAAGAATCTCATATTTTAAAATTTAACACATATCATATCAGATACCAATGAAGAAGATATTTGTTAAAGGATATTTTGAATTAATAGCTGCTTCAGCTTCTTTTTCTTTGATTTTCTCTAATGCTTTACTTCCTATCCTACAGTATCCTGAACTTTTCTCTGGAATTCTTGCTCCTTGGAAAGGGCTCTTACTTTATGGGCCTCCAGGTACATATACAAGTTTATATCCTATCCTGTAGTGTTGTTCGTTTTTCCATGGTATGATATTACACGTGTACTAATAATACTCTGTTTTGTTGTCATACTTTACAGTCCTGTAGTCTAATGGAACTTAAATATAAAGTGTCTCACATTTACCATTTCTATGTATTATCTCATGTTTCATTGCATGTTTTCTGGAAACTTCTTTTGTTAATATATTTCAGGCTTGTTACTTCTCCATTTTTTCATGAAGTTTTGGACATGATAGCATTATTCAGTTAGTACTTCACAGCCAAAACAATAACAAGTAATGACAGGGATTAGAAGTCTGCCAGCATTTTCTGTAACTTAGTGTCATCAAATTAAATTTGATGCTCTTTTGTATTGCATTTGTATAAAGGGTTTTCCAAAACATACATACCTTCACTGACACTTATAGCTAAAGCTATTTCTCGAACTTCTTTACCATCTAATGTTGTGTTCGCTTGCTCCAGTCTTTATATACCCCTCTCGACTGCCCTTGCCAGTATCTAATTTGCAAAACTTTATGCCAGTGGAGGTAAGTATGTTTGGAAATACATTTTCAGATAAGGAAAATGATAACTTTTATGTGTTAATGTATGTTGAAATATTTGTGTCATAGCTCTTTTAACAACCAATACATTTAAAATATAGATTAAAAAAGAAAAAAACAGATTATTAGTCTATTGTATGAGTGAAGAAGGATGTTAAGAATTGAGTAGAAAATATACTAAGCCCTTATAAAGTGTTGAGAATGGATTTTTAACAAGATACTGTAATTAAGAAGTTAAAATTCCAAAACATTCTTACCTCCACTGCCACTTATAGCTATTACTTGACCATCAGGGTTTCTTATTTGCCCATCTAAGCAGTAGTCTGATTTTTTCTTGCTTGCTTGCTCCAGTTTTTTATACCCCACTCAGTTGGTGATATTTGTCTGGTGATACTCTCCACCTACATCAATGTGGCCTCTGTCCTGGTACTGTATATAAGCACTTTATTGAGATAATTTTATTACTTTTTCTCGACAAAGCATCACAAACAGTATTATGATCTTTTAGAGATACTTTGAATATTATTGTGTTATCTAGTTGATTTTGTAATAATAATAATAATAATTAAAAATATATGTATATTTTTTCTTTCTTCCGATTGGCAAGCCAATTATGGTATGAATTCCAGATTATTAATTCCAGCAAGGAGGCCAATTGGGTCTCTTCTTTTCCATCTTTGATATCTAGCATCACAAAACAATTGGTGGTGGTGGGGGGGGGGGGTCACTCAGTTGAGACTGTCAGTGATCTTATTCATAGTTAGATGAAGACATATTTGGATCTGTGGTGGTCCTCTGAGGGTGATCCTCGACATTTTCGAGAGACTTTAGATTACTCATAGTGCCGGGGTCTGGGGTTCAATTTCCTAGAGTGGCATGGTAGATGGCCTACAGTTGCTTTGCTCTAACAAAACAACTTACTTCACCATGGTCTTTAAATTACCTATGAAAACGAAAAAGAGGCCACTTTGGGATAAGCTGTCTTTGATTTGTTTTTATTCTGTTGGTTCCTTGAGTGTGTGATGTTTTGGGCTTTTTCCTGGTTGCTTTTGAGTTTGCAACTTAATTAATGGCTGAAAAGTCTAGGAGTGAAGTTTTTTTCTCCATACACGTTAGACCTTATCGACACATTGTCGGTACTTTGTGATTTTGCATACCATCACCAGGTGGAGACATTTTTCCAACTCTCAGATAATATCTGCTCCTCGAATTTTGGGGTTCTAAGTCGGAGTTTGTAGTTCAACTATATTGGTCTATGTCCCCTGATGGGACAGAGTAAGTCTATGAACTTACAATTCAACTTCAACATTTGTTTCCTTTCACTTCACTTTCTTAGAAGACTCTCAGGATCACTAGTTTCATTGAGGACGAGTTGGATTCATTGTTATCATGCACGTTGGTTCAATTTTCGGCTTCTACATTCCTCCTGGTTGTTCTTGGGTCATAAGGGGTCATAGTTCTGCCCTTATTTATGTGTACCGACATCAGCTCCTTGGTACATTGGTACTCAGAATAGATTCTGTCTATATCCAAGGTTTCTACTGCTTAGTCGGATCACCAGCAGTGTCTGTGATTATTGTTTACCTTCAGGAGCTGTGGGGGCTCGGTTCCTAAAATTTCTGGACATGTGGTTATCTTAACTATCAGTCCAGAAGCTCTGCAGGTCCTTGGATTACAACTGGTCTTTAAGTTCGTATCCTCCCCACTATTAACCACCCAACCTGTAGGGTTTCCATCTCCCACAGTTCATTGGGATTTGGAACTTAGTTCTAGGGTTATCTGGGTCTGGTTGGTCTGTGGGTAGTGAAAGAGTTGAACTAGTTCTTCAGAGTTTTTATTCCTGTTAGTTGTTGGGCCTATGAAGACAGGAGATTGGTGTCTAGTCATCGATTTTCCTTGTCTATATCAATGCTTAAATTCTCCAAGGTTCACAAGTTAATCATTCCTCAATCTGTGTTGGCTTTTTTACTGGGATTCTAGATGTCCACTTGGTTGTAGTTGGCTCCTATCTGCACTTTGCCTTAGCGTTTGTGGTGCACAAGGGTCAGCTACTGAAGTTCTGGTTTTTTTTCCTTTGGTCTTGCATAGGCTTAACATGGGTTCTGCTGTATCACTTGAGTTTTCTTGGCCCTTCATTCCATTATACTGTGCACACACCATACCATAGATGACTGGTTACTGCTGGCAATATCTCGTCAATTGTTAGACCATCTTGCTTCTACTTTCAGATACAACCAAGGCAGGCTTCTCTTTTGGGACTGCGACATCTATTCTTGCTCCAATTCAACATGTCATCAGCCTGTGGTATTTTTTTTATTTCTCATCTCTCAGTTGGGCTCTGCTGTCTCCCATCCAGAATAGGATGCCACACTCATACTCACCTCTCTTTCTCCCACTGCACAGATAGTTCTTTCTCTTCTGGGAATGTGGGCCTTACTCGAATCCCTCGTGCCTTTGTGAAGAGAACACAAGCAATCCTTTTATTGGTTTTTAAGCGACCAGGGATCTTACACATCTATTTCCTGGTTCTCCAATTTCTTTAGTCAGGATCATTCCTTCATTTTTAGGGGCTAAGTCGGTACACTACTACAAATTGTGTTCCTGTACTGCCACCTCATCCAGAGTTCCATTCTCTTCACAAATGTCTTGCCTCAGGGATGGGGTACATATATTTACAGTCAGAAATTTCAGAGTATTCATGAGCAATGAGGATTCCCTACACAGTGTTTTCATCCTTCTTGCTCTTCAACAGGTAAGGTATCATGGTCTGGGCTTTTTAAGGGTTAAATTGTCATGCTCCACCCTGACTATTCCATGGTGGTGTCTTATGTTTGTCATCAAGGAGGTATGTGGTCTAGGGTTCTTTATTTTTGAATTTTGGACCTCTTTTCTCAGGAATAGTCTTATCTTATCACCCTTCTAGCTTTCAATGTTTCACGGGTGCTACCTGTGGTAGGAAGTCCATTTTCTCAATCCAAACAGATTATCTGACAGAATAGATTTTGCATCACAAAGTTCAGTTGGATTGACTCTCATTTTGTAACTCTAAATGGTGGGTTGGCCTCTCATTGAATCACCCAACTACTGGAAATTTCGTCTCCAGTACCTCATCTTTGGGCATTTAATCAGTGTTTTCCATCAGGACAGGACGGGATTACCTCTCTAAACCTTCTCTACACTTCATATGTTACCCAGGATATGAAATATGATTTGTTTCAACCCATTGTCAGATCCTGTTGATTGCATCAGATTGGTGGCTACACCTAGGTTTCTGCTTCTGTGGTGCCTTCTGGTGTTTCCAACTCTTCTACTTCTTTTTTTAGGTTCTCTCTGTGGAGGTAGCCAGGATAGGACATGGTGCACCCGGTTTTCCAGAAGCTCAAGCTTCTGGCATAGAGGTTTAACTTCTAAGGTTTACATGTATCTGTCTCAGTTTCTGCTTAGTCCGAAACTCACTTTTGTCAAGAGTAATGACATGCATATTGGCAATGTTGTATTGAGAGGAGGTTGAATTCTTTTCAATCAGTGGTGTCAACAATAACTTCTTTTTTTGACTCGGCTTTTGACAAAAGTTTTTGCATCTTTTACATTCGCTATTGTTTATGGCAGCCTTTTTTTGAGCTCCCAGTATTTTCCACATTTCTCACATTGTTTTGGGTAATTGGTCCCAAATAACCATTCCAGTTACTTAACAGGTAGATTTAGGTTATGTGTTCTTTCTCTACACTTGTTTGTGATGTAACTCTTATATGACATGTATCCCATTCATCTGCAGGTTAATTTTTTTGTGGCTGCTAACCTATGGACATCACCGGTCTGAGTGATTTGTGATGTTTGTCCACAAACCACTTTCTCATTCTCTCTACATCCTCAGACCAGTTCTTCTTACACAACACTCTGTCAAACAGGAAAGGGTTCAGTCCTTTTCTCCGATTCATCTGCTCACTGTTTCTCACTATGTCCAATCAGATTTCGATCTCGGTTATATTCAGTGGGGGTTTTTTTGCCTGTACTTATACCTTTAGAGACACTAGACAACACTTTTTATTCTGGGCTCTCTTTGAAGGTGAAGTATTTTCTGTGAAACATGCCTTATCAGATTTCTCTTTTCTATGTCCTTAGCAGCCTGGTCAAATTGCCCGCTGGAGGTCACTATGCAAACTGATATGTGGACCTTCCTTAATACCTTTATCTCGTATTATTTGCCTGATCTGGCAGTCTCTTCAAATATGGATTTTTGCCTACCCTCTGTAGCTATCTTAACTATATCTGTTAGATTATTCAGAGGGGTGAGTATTTTTATTTCTACCTTTCAGGGTCCCTTACCTTGTTTTCACAGGATCTCTTTCTGTGGCAAGTGTTGTCCAGACAGGTTTGCTTTTATCAAACCCATTCCACACTAGCAACCACTATTTAACTATAATTAATACAAGTTGCAACAGGCTCTGTAGAAATGAGGTGTTCCATAAGACCACCTAGGAGCTCATCAGGTGGTATTACCATACTGTGCTGGACTACCACTCATGGACTATCATGAGTAAAGCTAAAGTTGGGTGCTATCCTACCCAGGTCCCTGGATTTTTTTTTCAGATGTCAGTAGGAGTGGCACCAGCCAGTTCAGATTTTTTTATCAGTATCAGTTCAGTATATTGTTCTTAAAAGGAAGTCCACCATCTCCTCATAATTCTGAATGCAGAGTGGTCCCATCCTGGGCGCATGGTTGAGCACAGATGTTCCACATCCACCCCATAATTCTGGGGGCAGGTGGAAGGCTCCTTGCCCACTCAGTTGGGGAGTGAGGATGAATGTTCACAATTCCAGACGAATGAGTTCTGTTCCTTTGATTGAGTAAAGCATACACAATCCCATCATTCCAAGCCTGGGGTGTTCCCTTTCTGGCTTCTTCAAATGGAGAAGGTTTGTCCATTTAGGTGTTGCTTATCTTCTCATCATGATTCTGGTGGTTTGAAATGCATCACTCAATGGCTACAGGTTGGAATACAATCAAAAGTATATATATATATAACATTGCGGTCCAATTGCCCTAGCCACCAATGTGGGATATAGGGACCAAGACCCCTTAATTCCAACCCCAAGTAGTGGAACCTCGGCTGTCTGGTTGTGGCTGGCCTATAATGATGATTACTTGTATACAGTTCCATCCTTGGTACAGGAATTAAGTTCAGAGTGAAGAGCACTGGTATACCACTCTTATCGTGGTACACCTATGATTTCTGCAGATGCTTTCTGTATGGATAATGCCCTCACCAGACCCTCCATCTTCTCAATATGGGATTCTAGCTATAAGTGGCAGTGGAGTTAAGTATGTTTTGGAAGTTAACATTTTTCTAAATTGAAAATGTATTTCCAATAATCCTTATCTCCGCTGACACTCTCCCACCCTTCCTCCCCAGTAAGAGCTGGCGTTAGGGGCTGGGATGGTGTCAGTCTCGAAAAAGTGATAAAATTATTTGAATGAGGTACTTATATACAGTACCAGGATAGAGAGTGCATTGATATAGGTAGAGAGTGTCACGAAACAAATATCTCATGAGACAAATGTCACCAATGGCAATTGAGTGGGGTATAAAAGACTGGAGCAAATGAGAAAAACTCAGGCTAATGTTTAGTTGGGCAAAGAAGAAACTATGGCAGTTGAGTAGTATTATTGGAAATACATTTTCAATTTAGAAAAATGTTACCTTTTGAAGCTCAAGGCAATGCCAATTGAAAAGTTAGGAATGAGCTTTATAATCTGTTCTTTAATATTTTTGAGTATTAAGAATTATGTTGTTGTTGAAAACAAAACATTATAATAGCATTGTCTTGTAATACTAAAATTTATAGACAAATAAGAATAAACCTAGCATGTGTTTAATATTATTCTTGCTGCAAAGATTGGAAAAAGAGTTAATGATTTCTATTCAAGTTGTACATCTTTTGAATACATTTGTATTTCTAACATATTCAGTCTGTCTCATTTTCAGTTCTAGAATTTTAAAGAAAGCATAAGAATAAAATATATAATTTTTTGAGCAGTGTAGATACATGATCATTCTTCCACATAGAAAAGTAGAATTGGTGATTGATATTATGGTTTTTAAAGCTAAGTTTACAGTTGATTTTTCTTACAACAATTTATTTTGTGTTCATTTTGTGCATATCACAAATTCTCCAATTTGTTAAAAACTTCCATGAAGCTAGTCAACTTTTTAAGGTATGTCTAATAGATTTAATAGGTTGCATTTTGTTCCTTATATAACTCCTTCATTTTTTCTATAGGAACTGGAAAAACTTTGCTTGCCAAGGCTGTGGCTACAGAGTGTAAAACCACTTTTTTTAACATTTCTGCATCAACCATTGTCAGTAAATGGCGTGGGGATTCTGAGAAACTAGTTCGGGTTAGAATACCTTTGTATTGAACTGTCTTAATATTTTGTTATATTAAATTATGACAATTCATTGCTTACTTGATTTTCCTAATTCTTATTGTGTAGTTAAGGTACTTGTTAAAGCTTGATTTTTACAGACTGTATTTAGTTCTTATACCCTATTCAAAAAAAACATCACAAAAATAAAAGAGACAAAAACAGCTAAAATTAAAAACTAAAATGTTGAGAGAATATGAAAATGTTTATATAAGTTGTATTTGAAGCTTTTTCAACCACTGACAGTCCTTAATATTCTATGCAGTTTCTGCATGGAAGAATATTTTAGTAGTCAATATAAATAAGTTACCTAAACTAGTGGGGCACTCAGTAGAGTGCATACCTCTGCCATGCAGTGTTGATCATAATCAGCTCTCAGAAACTACGAAAATGTGTTCAAACATACATCTTTTTCAATGGACATGGACCATTTTTGGCAGGAGAATGAGGAATAGTATTCCTACGCAAGTCCACCAAGTTTCATAAAAATCCGATCACTTTTGACTGAGTTATAAAGCAAAAATAGTGTGAAAAATCAGTCCCCATGTTAAAAGATAGGGTGGTTTGGGATTTTCGTGACCTTGACACTCCAAAAACTAATAACTTCTAAGCTGGGTCATACTTCAAATGTATATAAACTTTCATCAAAATCCATGCAACTGTTTTCAAGAAATCTTGCTGACAATCACACACACACACACACACACAGGTGTGAAAACATAACCTTCATCCACCTTCAGTGGTGGAGGTAATTATGAGTGAAAAGTAAAATTATTCACAAAATAAACATAAATTGGCTTAAACTGATCAGCAGAACTTTGATGTAAAGTGTCATGAGGTCAGACCTGAAGCTTGTGTTATAATATAAGTTCCAAATTTAACAATACTAAAATGTGTGCAAGTCTTTTGAGAAAGCCAAGCTAGAGGTAAACATTTGATTATGAGTTAAAAATTATATTAAATATTGCGGAATATTTTATGTCCTTTTCTTTGTCATTTTATGTTACATTTATTAATTATTCCATTCCACAGGTATTGTTTGAACTTGCACGTTTTCATGCACCCTCTACAATATTTCTGGATGAGCTTGATTCTTTGATGGGTCACAGGGGAGGATCTTTAGTCAACAGGTATGTTTCATTTTTTGAACACAAACAAAAAAATTAAGACTTTTAGGCTTCTACAACAAGTTTTTATTAATTAAAAACAATACTATATTATCTGTTTTATATTATGTTTTCTTCAAACTTTGTTTATGGAAAGTTTGACTGGTTAATAGAAGAACTTGTACTGCATTGCATTCTGTTGGAGTGAAGAGAAACATTAACCAATTTTTAGAATTTTCTGAGTGTTAAATGCCGATACGTAATACACGAAAGTGTTTTATACATATGCAAAAAACAACTCCAAATAAACATTTAAGATGTGTACATATATCAAATTGTTCAGTGCATAAGATTTAAATACAGTTATAATAATTTAGTTTATGTGTTTGACATATTACTTGTCTTGTAACTTAACATTTAATTGAAAAGAAGTTACTACTTTTAGAAAGACCAAGAAATAACAAAATTAGGTATTGTATGATACAAAATCTTTATTATCTTTTAAAAGTTGTATTTCCTGTAACTTACCTGCATTGTATGTTAAAGGTGACTTTTAGATATTTAACAGTCATCATTGTTATTATATAGAACATTATCTGTGTCACTCTTTTATATAAAAGTGATCATAGCTGTGGTTAGCATTCAGCTTTTGAGATATGAAAGAAAATCTTGTCAGATTTTAATTTAAACAGATTGGTACTTCTGACTAATTTCCTAGTGTTATATTACTAGTTGTTTCTCATTAAGCACCTAGTTACATAAAGTTTTAGTAATTTCTTCACTAAATTAATTGAAAAAAAATTTAAAGTTTTAAGTTACAAATGAATGTATTTTAAAAAATATAAGTTTGAAAACAAATTGGTATTCAAAGTAAACTTTCAGTTTGACTTCAGCAATACAGTATTTGGTTTTAATACATTTGAGTTCAACTTTAACAATACAGTATTTGGTGTTAATATGTTTCGGTTTAATTTCAACAAACAAAATTTGATACTATTATATTTGAGCTTAACTTCAACAACACAGAATATGGTGTTAGTATGTTTCAGTTTGACTTCAGCACTGCAAAATTTGATGTTAATATGAAGTGAGAGGTGTCTCAGCCAAACTGCAAATACAAATGGCAAGCATCAGAGTATTCCTTGACTGCAAAGTAAAGTGTGACTTTTAACATCTAAAACCTATTGTTTGTTTTCATATGAAAATCAGTTATTCTCATTTATACACTTTCTTTTTAAAGACATCAGTTGAACATAAAAAAATTAATAACTGAAAGCTACATTTTATCTCATAAAAGTAAAATATAAATAAATAAAACCTGATTACCTAATATCATTTTTGACACCTGAGGTAGAAGAAATATGACCATTTTTATTGGCCTAATATACAACCTTATACAGTAGTATAATTTGAGAAAATGTATGTCTGTGTGTTGGGACTGCACTTAACTGCAATTATTTCTCATTGTCAGCTCTTAGTAGTTCTATCTGGGGTATTATCATGAGACAATTTAAACATTTGTGTCACTTAAGGTGCAAATATTTAAAATGTTGTTTGCAAGGAAGTTCTGTAAACAACTTTTCCAATATGAATTCAGTAGTTCTTACTTTTAGATTTCACCTTGATATTTTAATAAGTATGAAGTACTTTTCTATTTGAAAGAGAAGAAAGGAGAATGTGTAAATGAAATCAACACCAAAATGTTTGTCACACTTAAGGACATAGAAAGGTTTTTGGATAATATTACCTGATGACAACTGATATAACTCTAAATTGTAGTTCTCAGCTTGTAGTTTAGTATTTGTTAGCTATTATGAGCTTATATACTTCATAATGTGATTCTATATTATCTGTTAAAGAAGTTGATTGTTCTGATATTATTTAAAAAAAACTATGATATGTAATTATTTAATATGTAATGAGGCATGCCAAGCTATAGTATTTAATCTATGTATGCTTTGTTTTACTATTGATTGTTCTGTTTTGAAATTTAAATGGTAATAGGAGGAGGTATTCCTTATATATATAACCAGTTTCAGAAATGATTATGAATTGTGCTTTGCCTACAATATTTCTTTTACGTATAAATTGTCCCCCGGTGGGTCAGTGGTAAGTGTTTGGATTTACAAAAATAGAATCAGGGATTTGATTCCCCTCGGTGGACACAGCAGATAGTCCAATGTGGCTTTGCTATAAGAAAAATACACACACCTATGTATAAATTATTACATTAGCTCATGTAGAGATTTCACAGATATTGTTTAATCATAATAAGGTAATTTATAAATACTGTCCTATATATTTTTGTGTGATATGATAGATAATTTTTCAACGCCACCAACATTTATTGATGAGACTTCATACAGTTTGATATATAACATGTTTTTGATTCTGTCCAGTGCTTAGTAATGGGTAGTTCAAAATAAGTAAACGTAATTTGAATCATATGGAGAAATATTTATCTGGCCAACCACATTTTTTTTATATTATCAAAATTGTGGTACAAGTTTCTGCTATTGGTAGAAAGATTTTTAGTTTAGTAATGAAATACTACATTTTCAGTGAACATGAAGCAAGCAAAAGAATGAAAACTGAACTTTTGATACAGATGGATGGTTTGGCAAGATCTGATGACCTAGTCTTTGTATTAGCTGCTTCTAATATTCCTTGGTGAGTATTAGAAATTAGTACAGCAGAATATGATGCAAGATTTTTGATACTAGCTTCATATATAGGGGTTAATAAGTACATTAATGGTATCACTAAGCTCTTAAATCAGATTCTAAAAAATACATCCCTCTTATTTTTGTTCAGTAATCTTTTCTTGATCCCAAAGTGGACATAGTGACCACAGCATTGAGAGAGGACTACGTTAGTAATTTTTAATAAAAATTTATAACTGAAAGTTAAAAGAAGAAAGTATAATAATATGCCAGCCACAATACATCTGCTATATCCAGTGCTGATGAGGTCTTTTGTCCAATACCACTGCTTTTTGGGCCAACTGGGATACGACAGACATGAAAGTGGTTTAGGTGCTATTTATATTAAGAAGTTGTTTGACAACAGTTGTTATGGTGTAACCTAGATTAGGTTGGGGAAGTGTAATTTTTCATCAGTCTCTATTTATGTCACAACAAATCAGAATTATGTTAAAGATTTTTTAACAATCCATTATTTATTACCAGAAATGCTGAACAGTGTGCTTCTCTGTCATGAAATTGCTCCTGACTTCTTCTAACTGCATCTAGGTGAGCAATTTGATGTGCTTCTGTATTTTGGGCTTGTTCCTGGCTTATTCTCACTGGATCTTACCTCATAACTTGGTGAGCGAGTCTATCGTTTTCTTGCTCATGCTTTCTGTAACTTGTATCCCAATGTTTCATTTTCTTTCTCAGAGTTTCAGACTTTCTGCGTGATAAGTCACTTTTCTGTTTGGCAATTTTTGGAATCATGATTTTCATTGTTTTTTATCACTTTGTACTCATACTGAAGTAAAAAATACTTGCATAACTTATGAAGATGAGTTACTACAAAATTCCTGCAAATTTGTATGCAACAATTTCTGTATGAAGGACTTGCAATTCCTTTGGTCACAGAACAATTCAATTCAGAGCATATATCACAATGATTCTCCACTAGGAAGGCTCATTATGAAATTCTGCATTAAACTTACTTTACCACAATTTTAGAATTTTTATAAAAAATTATTTTAGTTGATAATAATATATGTATACGATTAATGTACATTATTAAAAAGGAAAGAAGTACCATTTCTCCATTAAGGAAGCACTTTAGAAAAATATATTTTAAGATAAGGTCCTATTATTTTTTTAATTTTAGCGAGGGTCTGTTTTATGACATTTTTTCATTTTGGTGTGTTATAAAGCTGTTAATGACTTATTTCTTACAAAATTGGACACATGCAGTAAATAAACTTTTTTTATAAGAGACCCGGTTGTAATGAAACTTTGTTAAGAATTTCCTCTTTTGAGGTTGAAAAATCGTGTGAAGTTTCATCCAAGTCAGTCTTAAACCATAGGAGGAGTTTTTCAGACAGACAGACATTAGCCTCTTATATATATATAGGTTTATTTTAACACCATATGTCATTGATATTATATATATTATTGTATTAACCTGCTCATTATTTGATATAATTAAAAACATGTTGTTTATTGTGAATTTATTTTATGAAATAACAGCTGTTCATTTATTATTTATACGCTCGTCTGCAGTAAAACATTAATTACTTGATTCATGTATAATATTGTTCTTGTTTTTAGTGTTTATCCATATTAATGTTGTGTATACCCATTTTGCCCATCCAGAACACATTCTGGATGTTCTTCTCCAGTAGGTGAATTGAATTAACTAGAACAAGAAGTTAGCTTTTCCAATATGGCTGAGAATGCATAAGCCCCTGTTGGATTTTTGTTTGTTTGATGTGATGGATGATGAAGCACTCCAAGGTTTTCTTCTAAGGATAACCCTGGTTTTGTAACTGACTATGCAATCAATGCTGTGGTATACAATAGTAAAAATACGTTGCTTGCAAAACATATTTTGTATTGTGGCAAAATATTTTAAGTACATGCTGCATTGGTACTCATCCTTTGCCATCTTGATGATGTCTGTGTTCCCTTTACACCACCTCCTTGTTGAAAACAATCAGAAGTTTAGAACACTATTCTGAGTCACTTTATTGCTGTGCAAAAAAACACACATTCATGAAAATGAGTCAAACTTACTCATTGATTACTTAAAGTCAGGTTGAGTATACTAGTTCCTTCTGGATTGTACACTTAAGATATTTACAGAAACATGGTATTATTAACCCTTTCGTAGAAAGTTTTAGTAATTCAGCACATTGTCTCCTTAGTGTCTTAAGCAATACTGACTTTTCAGTGTTAGTTGCAATGTTTGACTCTTGTAAGTTGACCTTGTGTAACTTTGTATTTATAAATATTAGATTGTAAAGACAAATAAAGAAATTTGATATAACAGACCTCCTAGTAAGAAGCCAGTATGCTAGAAAAAAAATAAAAAAAATATATATATATATATAAACTGAAATTTTTAACCTGTTTCAGGAAAGACTAATTTTTTTGTTTTTGTTTTTTTCTCAAAACAAATTGTGTGGAATTTTACCTTGTTTCCCCAGGGAACTAGATTATGCTATTTTGCGTAGATTGGAGAAGAGAATCTTAGTTCCATTACCAAGCATGGAAGCTCGTGCAGCTATGTTCAAACAGTTTCTTCCACAAAAGGAAAATAACAAGGGCAGTCAGAGTCATAGCTTTTTAAATTGTGATGTGGATTATGACCAGTTAGCTCAGGTATGTATTCTGTTAGAGAAACGCTGACTGTTTTGTGATGTTTCATGAGGAGATTTTTGTAAATTATCACCCAGTAATTTTATACCTGAGTGAACATTTTTTCTTCTGATATAAGGAGAGGTCTGAAGTATAGAATACTAGTATAAAAGCCCATTAAAAATGATGGGAAACCATTGTTGAATGATTAACGTAAATTATAGAATTTAACTAAAACGAATTTATCTGTACCTCCAAAATGCACTTATTTCATCAGTCTAGAAGTTATCGTGAACGAAGGTATGTGTGCACTCTGAAAGAGGCTTAAGTAGAAAACATATCTGGATATTCTGACACAAATTTTCAAGTGTTTTGGTTGTACAATAGGTAAACGATTTTTGGTAGTAATAAACGTTTATTTTTCTTTATGTTTTAAGGCCAAGTAGGTAATATACGTGTTAAAATACCAAAATAATATTTATTAATTAACATTTATTCACCACATAAAACTTTTTAAACACTAACTCTATAACATTAGTAATAGTAGGCCTATTTATAGTCTAATTTAAGCATTAGGCCTAATACATAAACTTAATTTAAGGTGTAGCTGAAACATTATTTGGTAAATTTTATTTTCCTTTTTGGCTACAACTCAATGTCATAGAATTTCTGAATTAAATTATTTTGCTGTTAAATCACCGAAGTTATATGTGAAAAAAAAGAATAAAGTAACAAACTTTTCTAACAAATCAACTTGAGTATTGAGCATTCAACATAAACACCATAGTTGGCTCAAGAACAATCAGGTGATAGTTTTGTTGCAAAGTGATATGTATATTGTTAAGCACCACCAAAAAAGGAGAGTGAAAGCATTCTCAACTGAGTGACAAAAGTAATAAACCTTTTACAATTAGTGATTTTGGATGAGGATTATTTGAAAGTTTTGTTTACTGATGTGAGCTCATCAGGTTGAATACAACAAGTAAATATTAACTGATTGCTTTGAGAGGCCACTGAAGAGAAGGAAAATCAAAAATTTTTCTATTTCTGCAATCAAAACATCAGTCAAAGATCCAACTGATATACTCGTTATCTTAAGAAACACAAGGAATCTCTTAGGACAACAGTTATATTTATTGTACACTAAGAAAAGTAATATGAATACTGTACTGTCCCATCCTCTGACAGCAGTACTGCTTTCCCTAGCAAGTGTTTAGAGCATTAAGAACTCTACAAATAAAGCAGTTATGACAGAATATTTGAAGGAAAACATCAGCAGCACACGTCCTCTTTCTGATGAAGTTGATGCAACAATTTTTGATTCCATGTTTATACTACAGTCTTTGACAAACTTACCATTAACATTTGAAAATGTTGCCAAAAAAGTCCTATTAATTGTGTTCAAAGCTTCTGGCTAAGAAGTTCATTTTGTGTGTGACACATACAAGAGCAGTGTAAAGGATTGCCAGCATCAGGTGAGGGGAACAGACTCAGTGGCTGCACACAACATGACTGGAGCTGAACAGACAAGACCAAGAGATTTTGCAAGCTGTTTCAGATCCTCTAAGTTTAAAACAGCACTGCTTATCTTTCTCATTGATGAGTAGCAAAGGCCAAAATATGCTTTCATACTCAAAAAGGAAAGGCTGATTGTTGCACTCAGAAATGAAGCCTACTTGTATACTTTGAGATGCTGCAAGAGATTATCAGTCAAACCACATAGAAGTTGACATCAGGATGTATTTTCACATTCAGAAGTTGGTAGAAAATGACAACAAATCTGTTATAATTCAATGCAATAACACAGATGTGCTAGTGATCCTTCTGAACCATGCAAAGCAGTGTTTTCCAAGTTATAGATGGAACCTGGTCATTCCTAGAATAGTACTTGGTGCTATATTGACATATCAACATTGGCCAAAACCATAGGCAAGGAGCTATGCAAAGCACTGGATATGATTACTCTTCGAGTTTTCTTAGGGCAAAATAAGACAACTCAATATTGCTGTGAAGAATGGAAGCTTTCTCAAAGCTCTTCAGGACCAAGGAGAAAATGAAAACCTGGACCACATTTCATTGGAGACTCTGGAAACATTTGTGTGCACCATGTATGGACAATCTAGGCTTCCTTTAATGATAGTAGGTTGCACATTTTTGAAGCCAAGTATAGGCCTAAAGATCTCAATGCACCTTTTGAGAAAATGATATGAGTGGATTGGATGCTGGAATATTGCCACATTGCAAAACTATACTGCACCAGAAACTTCTCTGTGAAAACTATGTGGCATGGATATGGAAAAATGCTCATAGGCAATTGGCAATCACAGATCCAACTAAACATGGGTGGCAGATGGTTGATGGATGCTATACAATAAAATGGTTTGAATGTGATCAGTTACCAATGTCACTTAGGTGTGAACTTGATGAAGAAATACCCTATGATCTTTGTGAAGGCAATGAAGAGGAGGGGCCTCCATATCTAGTGGTAAAGATGAGAGTAGAGATAAAATTAATGACTAATTTGAAACATGATGAATAAAGATTAGCTATAGTTTTGAGTGCATCCTTATTGACTTTGTTCTCACAAGCAACATCATAAGCTTGAGATTTAAATCTGCACATGTCAAAGCAAACAAATACAACAGAGATAAAAAAAAGAAAAAGTTCATACTTAAACTACATTATAATTAGTTGACATGTAAAACAGTTTGGATTTTACTGCTGCTTTGCAATTGAATGCATTTTAAGTACTATACATGAAAGCATGAAATGGACCATGACTCAAAACTGTCCATTTGAAGACTTCTAAAATGGACCAAGATTTTACTTCTTACTCGCCAACAAATAAAAATAAATAACTTGTATAAGTTTACATTCATTGAACCTTCAAAAAACAATTTGGTAACAATAGAAAGCATCAGTTTTGGGGTTAAAAGTGGGCCATTACTCATAATAATCCATTGTTGACTTAGAATAAAAATTCTTTGTGAATTCTACACCATTTTTCTCATAAAATACTGATGAAATTTCCTTTGCACATTAAATTTCTGTGATAATATCAAAAAAGTTTAGGCGATAAAGCACAATGGGTCATAACTCAAATGTGTCATATTTCTGCTCTGTTAGACTCACTTTTTTGGATTCTATGGCATTTCTTACCCCTAATGAAAATATTAATTAAATGACCTTATATCTTGAAGTATCACACTTGGTATTATTGGATGATATACCATGAGAATACCTTTCTTGCAAGACCATCTTGTCCCATGAAAGATACAATTCCTGATAAATACTTCACTTCATATTGAAGCCTGGAATTGCTGTTATATTGTTGTGGAGTGAAAAGTTGAATTTAGAAGACTCCATAGAGACTCATCCTTCTCTTCACAATTTACTTTTTCTACCTGATGGTTACTATTGTGGAACCATGCTTCTGGGTACATAATGTCAGTTTCATTTTATGATCTATATTGCAGACCTGTCAACATTAAATTCTGAAATATAGTAATCCATACTGGGGCAAGATAAAAATTGTAAACAGAAATGGTATCATTACTGATTATGTTTTATTTAATACTTACTAATTACAGTGTAATACTGATTAAGATCCCTGTAAATAGCACTATTGGCTTTCTTTAGGAAATCATCTGTACATTTTTGGGAGAAACATGGTTTTATGCCATCTCCATCTTTCTTATCAGCACTGATTCTAAGGTGAAGTTTGACATTGATCCCCAAAAGTCTGTCCTGTTTTTGCAAATAAGTGAGAAAACCCTCTCACAACCTGCATTGCTGTGTGGTGTTACAAGGATAGGTTTCATTGTTTTAGTGAGTTTATTATATTTACAGTTCCTCAGCTCATGTTAATTTTTCCAATACTATACCAACACTTGTCTGCTGGCACACTGAGATCTATACCATTCAATGGATCACACTGGTGGGTGAGAAATTGCTACTGAAGACACTTCATTCTATTGGCCCAAGGTGCATCCCAGGCAATGAATGGTTTGAATTTTCCAACAAAGTACTTTACCGATTTCAAAGAACAACTTTTTTCTGACAGATATGTGTGCTACTTCTGCATGTTTCAAAGTTGTGTCCTAAAGAAAGAACTTGGCTTTCATATATTCCAATGCAGTTTCGTAGTAATTTCTTACATCGTCATAGAAAGAGAGCTGTCTTCCTTTGTCAAGCTTTGTAAGGAAAGCTCAACTTCCTAACCAATTACCAAGTTCTCATTTTTGAACTGAAGTTTTCTGTCTGTGAAATTCAAATCCAAAATATTTGAACAATTTAAAATTGCATGTGCTGTCAGAAGTCTGCTTAACAAATTTTTGAATAAAGCAAACAGGATTGTCTGCAAGCATTGGATGAGTGGGTCATTAGACTCTAGTTTCAAATTATACTTGTCAAATATTTGAATACAATTGTTCAGAAATAATGCATATACAACACATCTCCTTGTTGTAAGTAACTTGTAAAGCCTGTCTTCTTGCAAGTAAGTGTTTCCCGGTGATTTGGTGTCAGGTTGTCCTGTTCCTTCTCACTTGCTCTTGCAGACCCCTGCTCAGGAAACACATTGACAGACTGCCTCTGTTTGGAAGTTTTTCTTTGCATTTTTATAAACAATCATTCTCTTAAATGATACCTCTGATCTGCATGGAACAGACTTTGGCTTCAGATGGATTTTTGTTTTACTTCATCCTTTTTTTTTTTTCTTTTCATCGTGTTTGGCTGTAAAGTATTGCTCCAAATGTTTCCATTGCTCATTTAACCTCTGTAAGCATTTTCCAAGAGACAGACAGCATGTGAACATGTACTTCAGAACAGCTTGAGTCTCCACATCACATAGATTCTGGAATTCTCTAAATTCTTGTTTTCTATTTGCAACAAAAATTTTATCAAACTGATATTGCAGCTTCTTTTACTGCTGCCAAATGAAGAAAGTGACATGAGCATCTCCTAATCACCATTTCAGGGTTAACTTTCAGAAGATAACTTGCAACTCCTTTTTTTCTCCCTAATGATACACAATTTTCACACTTTAAGGACTTTAGAGACTAGTTCTTAAATATTTTTGCCAGTTGATTTTCCAATTAAATTGGAATTAGAAAGTAATTTATTTACTCCATTTTGCTTGTCGTCATCGAAGTATGTCACTACAATAGGGTACGGCTTGCTGTTAATGTCATTACTGTCATCAGTGGACACGTTGAAAGCCCTAGCTTTAATGTTACTCACAAATCACTCAGTTGCATTGCTGGCCATTTCTCCAACTTTTGCAGAGGTTTTGGTTCTAGAGCATCCATATCTTTCAGCAATTTCCGAATCTGGAAATATTTTGGCAACAAGTTTTGAAGTATGGTGTGAAACCACCAAAGGAATATTGTGTTTCACAATGAAGGAGGTGAATAAACATTCCACTCTGATCACATCATTTTCTGATTTTGTATCATGTTTAATGAAAAATGGGTGCAGTTTATTAATTCCAGATGCCCTCACACAATTTTGCTGAGGTTTAATAGTGTTGAGATGTTTTTTGATGTCATTTTCTTCTCCTTGAGAAATGGAGAAATTACAAACACAAATTGTACATCTTGCATAATTCATACCCTTTGAGGATGATACAATATCATTGAGCCTTTCTGAATACTCATACCTAAACTTCTGCTCACTATAAACTTTTTTTTCTTCTTTTGTTGGAGTCATTGGGGATGAAGCAGAACCACGTTCTTCTGCCCTTTTTCTCTCAAAAAATGATCAGCGCACCCTAAATGCTTGCTACTTACACACTTTTTTAATAGACTATTCCAAGCATTTGTAAAATTCAGACACAAAGTGGAGAGTGGTGAATTATTTCTGGAAAATTATTAGTAGAAAAAAGGTTGTTGGAAAAATTCTGTAATTTTGCATAAAATAGTAAAATAACAATTCGTACAGCTGTCAAATGAAAAAAAAAGAGAACAATTATGCCCAAATCATAAGAGGTGGCTGGTCCGAATTGTTGTATAATCTTTGCTTTCATTTTCTATGAGTGGCAGGTATCACTTTACGTTCTTCAGTCCTTGTTTTTGCATATTTTAGTATTCTACTCAAGAGTTATGGTAGTGCTATGTTCTCATATATAAAATTAATAATTTTGTCTTAAAATCAAATTTAAACACACCATGAAGATTTATTGAGGTATATGTGAAGAAGTAAACTGACTCAGACATGAAAATACTTGTAGCTGAAATATTATTTGTTTTCAATAGAGGAACAGGTTTCTTTAAAATACTGTTTATTTGAGTTTACAGATTCATTCTGTCTACAATAGAATATGGGAATTTATCTATGTTTTAGAAATACTTTTTCTCCAATGTTAGGCTACCAGTGGTTATTCTGGTGCAGATATCAGACTAGTGTGTAAAGAAGCTTCCATGAACAGTGTTCGTAAGATCTTTGACATTCTCGAAAGTCACTCAGAAGGTAAGATAATGGAAGGATATCTTTCATAGAATTCAAAATTACTTTACCATTCTTAACAAGTATAAATGATTTAAAAGGTAATTAGAATTAATATCAAAGTTATAATATGAAGAAATCACTCGGTACAGTATTTTCCTTAAAGATAAAGACATTATCAGAAACTTGGTTAGTACTTTTTTATTTATATATTCTTATATTTAAATTTAGATTTGGAATTATTTCGTCATAGTTATAATTGTTTAACCACTTTATGCTTTTTGTTATCTTGCAGCTAAAATGGATTTAACAGCTTTTTCACACTTCCACCCATCCATCAGATTTACAGTGGAAACATGAACTTACACAGGACATACCTAGATACTGGGTTTAGAGTACAACCTGTTGAAGCATATTCACATGAAATTTACGTTAAACCCACTTGTGATGGCACCATGATAAATTTGAAGTTGGCAGATCCCATTTTCATTAAATAGTCTGTAGCAATGTAGCAGTCTCTGACTCAACTGCAATAACCAGACTATAAGAATTCTTTGAATTACTAATAACTGTATACTTTGATGAATTTCAAAGGCAAACAAAAGCAATTGGCTTAGTTTTTGCACTTTCATTTCCCTTTGTTAAAGATAACCTTAGCTGCAACATACGGCAGATTCTAAAGAAGAAAGTTTTTGATGTGAAATATATTGAAAAATTAATTCCTGCACTTAAATCTCAGCTTTTAACATTATTCTTCAATCCATTTTCATGCTTAGTTAACATATTCGATGACGAGGAACCCACTTTGAGACTAATAATGGCTGGAGACAGCTTGAATGGGTAATGAAGAAAAACTTTAATACAACAGCAAATGTACAACATGGTACCTGATGATGACAAAACTTTGTC